CTGATTTAAAAGATGGTTTTTCGCTACACAATAATAACTAAGTTTCAAAAACGGAAGCTAAAAACTTTAAATTTAATTATATAATTAAATTAAAAGCATTAGTTCCGTTTCATCTTCAAACGAATATTGGAATAATTTATTTTTAAATTTACCGAGTTTTAAACACACATAAATTCATAATTTCCTGTTTCCATGGATACAGAGAAATCCAATCATTCAGACAGGGGCGATAGCTTGTTCATTTTTATTAACTATTGTTGTATCAATTATGAATTACATTCGAAAAGGAGGTTAAGTTTAGGGAGTGTTGGGGTTTATTTTTCAACGTATTCTGACATGTCTGGTTTTTTTTTTTTATTAACGGCAAAATGTTTTTCGGCATTTTTTCCTGTATACGCAAAGATTATTTTATGTGTGTTTGTGTTAAAATACGTTTTATTAAGCTACAATTTTAAAACATTTTTACTCTTAATATCTAATAAACTATATTTCTTTTTAAAATCAAGTAAATGTAATAGAAATTACTTACATTATTTCAATTTTTTTATATATAAAGTGAACAATAACTTGTGTCGCTGAGGTTGCTATTTGTTTTCTCGTGTATAAATGCAGTAAGAGGATTTGATGTGAAATACTTGTAAACGTTGTCGTTTTTTTCTCTCGAAATAACAAAGGACGGAGGCAATGAGAATTTGAAAGCTTCATAACTACAGTGGATTGCTCTCTTGTAGCATCTTCTAAACCACATTTTAAACTTGCAGATCCGACATTGTCAGATGACAAATTTCATGAGTTAGATGTTTACAGAATCCAAATACAACATGAGATGATTTGAGTAGCGACTACTAGAGTCTAGAGTCGCGTAAAGTAAAAATATCAAATCACATTCTATTTTTAATGTGTTCATTTCACACACCAAAGCCATCATCATTTCTTATGAATAAATATTTATTTTCGTCAATACTTAACATAGACTATCATCAAAAATAAAGAGTTGGAAAAACCATTCTTTTTTATCTTACTGACCACATTTTTTTAATCATTTTACCCCAAGTAAGGCAATAAATCCATTGACTGTGAGAGAATATGAAAAAAAAACTACTATTAAGGAGAGAGGACAATAAAAGAACAAGATTTAAGAATAGAGAATATAATGATTGACATTGCATTTGAATGTTTGAATATCAAAGGCATTAAAGCCTCTAGGATGCAAGAGGTTACAGCGTGTTAGAGAATATGAAAAAAAAAATACAATTAAGGAAAGAGGACAATAAAAGAATAGAGAACGATTGATATTGCATTTAAATTTTTGAAGATCAAAGTTGACTGGAAAGCAAGAAGCCGGAAGAGAAATTCCACAAGCAAGAAGTGCGATAGAAGAAACCGTTAGCATAGAACTTACGGTTACATCGAACCCTTACGGTTACATCGAATGTAAAATTGACACCTTGCCGTCAATCTAATTAAAATTAAAGGTACCATAGAGGAAAGGAAAAAAATCACTAAAGCTGAGATGCCATGTCAGGGACAATAACATTGCAGATTTTTTTCTTTTGATTTTAGCAAGCATTTCTAAATATCTAGCAGGAGCACCAGATCTGATGTGGCAGTAATCTTCAAAGCAAGGAGAAATGGTAGACACTTCCAGTGAGAAAATTGTCTAGCACGACACAGTAAAACAACTTTCCTCTAAGGAGACATAAAAATTTGATTCAATATAAATTTTCGAATTCATGCTAGCGGAAAGCGTTCGTCCGAAGAGACGCAATCTGTCACTTTCCTGATGGTTTATATATATATATATATATATATATATATATATATATATATATATATATATATTAAAATAAAAAATTTAAAGATTATCTTTTTAAAATAAAGTTTATTTCAGACGATTAAAAGATAGCAGTTTCGTTTTGGAGCGTTAAATTTATGTGATGGGACCTTACCCATAATAACATAATGGACTATTCCATACGTTATAAATACTGCGCCTCAAGAGGAAGCAGGGAGTTCAGTCCGAAGTCGGGCGACCGGCTGATCGGTTGAACTCTCTGCCTTCGGGCGGGGAGGAACCCGAACCAGGCTACGCCGAAGGACGGAGTCTCTTTCGGGGAGGTAAACCGACCCTGAACCCGTTTATACGGGTTCAAAGGGCATATTTTTGGCCGAGCCCACGGGCTCGGAGATCCCACGTTAAACCGGCCATGTGTCACATGATGCCCTCGGGGGAGGTGGGTGACTAAATACTGTTCAGTCTGGAAGTGAGGTCCGTCAGGACCCTGTCAGTCAGTCAGAGCGAGCGAGTCAGTCAGTCGAGTTAGAGGCAGTCCGAAACAGAGTCGCGTTCAGACAATTACTACAAGATATTGGAATAGTGATACTGGTCGAGCCTACATTGTTCTCCCTACTAAACCTGATTGTTCGTATTAACACTTTCTACTTCTCTGTATATATTCCTGTTTGTAATATATCTGTGTTATTCCATATCCGTGTTTGATTTCTTCTTTATTGGTTCTACCTTGGACCATCACCGTGGTACAAGGACCTTTGGACCATAACAATTTAACAAGTCATTCATTGCCCCAGTAAACAACAGATTGTAGGTCATTTTTTTTTTAGATCAGATGCCAAATGACATTGTGGAACCGATCGAATTACTGTTAAAACATGTTTATTCATTCTCTAGTTTTAATTACAAACGCAGAGAAACACTGCTTAATGGAAAACTTTGAACACACCTAATAAATACGACAAAAAAATGGCCGACAAACAATGAAAAATGTCACAGATGGCTGTGTATTGCAGTTTTCGTTGTCGTCATATACATTGTATTAAGTAAAGAAAACAACATCTGAGTCTCCAAATATATTCCACAAGATAAAGACTGTTAATGTTTGGCTTCCGACACCAATGGCTTGATTTAGAAGGTTTGTAAAAATCGATATTTGTCAGAACGAATGGTTGTAAACAACAAACACAGGAGTATTGGATGATTCTGTAAACTTCATCTCATTTCAGATGGACAGTGAATATTCATTAATGTTTTTGCAGCATTGTTTAGAGGCACATCTGTTTGGTTACTCTGATGTTACAACAAGAGGGGCTTTAGTTACCGTTTAATCAATATTTCTTTGGATGGGTTTGGAATCGTGGCTTGCACAAGAACAACCCATGACTTGTAGCTAAACAATAATACTCTGCAATCTATCGTATTGGAAAGTAATTATTGATTAATTGATTCTTTTTCTACGGATTATCAACCCTTTGAGGGTTATTTAAAGCCAGGAAATATTTTTAGATTCTGTGAATGATTTATTGATACAAGTCTTATTAATTAACCCATAGCTGGGGGCAGAAGAGGTGAATTCATATTTTTCTCAGCGGTATTTGCATGTAAGTAAATATAACGAACCCAAGTGGAATTAGAAGTCGACTCCCCAATTAGCAATTCCCAGCCCGACACGTTCAAACTAATAACATCAGGTATTCCCAAGCGGTCACCTATCTAGTTACCGACTAGGTTAGACGTTGCTTAACTTCGATGATCGTACAGGAACCGGTGTTTAAATGAGAAGTGGCCGTAAACCCTGGAAATTAATTATGTTTTACTAGAAACGCTATAAGAACGAATGTCAGTAAAATTTAATTAAAATATTAGGTCGTTCGGAAAATAATGACGTTTAACCCGATAATATGTGAAAACAATTTTTTTTTCAGCATTTCATGCCAAACAAAGAAATAAAATCGACTATGACGCAAAAGAGGGAAAGAAACAGTGTGCTATAAAAGAAAAAGTTGCAAGGAAACAGAAGATGACGACTGACATTGCATTTAATTTTTTTTAATTTGACATGGATGCAGGAAGTCGGACAAGGTTTTCGAAGGCGATAACTGGAGCTGGGGAAATTATTAGCACAGAATTGACGGTTACAACTAGCAATTTCAACAGTAAAATTATGAGACCTAGCTGCCAATCTAGTGCGGCACTGAAATTCGTGAATTCGCGGTACCAGCGAGGAAAGATCATCAGAACAATTAGCATGAAAATATTGATAGAAGAGACAAAGGCAAAGGCAAAGGCTAACGCAACGGCAGTGGGAAAGTGAGTGAAACCGAGATACCAGGTCAAGATCAGTAATGTTGCAGATTTTTCTTTAGATTTTGTGAAGAATCTTTAGATATATAGCAGAAACACCAAACGAGAAATATTCGATATACGGACGAATAGTAGATGTATAAATGTTTGCATGACAAACCGTGTCAAATGCCTTTGCGATATCTAAATCAACAGCCCGAGTTTCATCATTTTTATCTACATCTTGACAGGCTATTAACTCTCATCATATCGGTGGTTGACCTAAAGAAGCGAAAGGCATATTGTTTGTTTGAAAGAAGGCCTTACTAGGTGAGATGCCTAACCAATTCGGAGCTGATTAGAATCTCGAGTACTTTGCCAAATAAAAGTAGAAGATGAATAGATCGATAGTTTAAAGGATCAGACTATTTGCCAGTGTTCCTACAAACAGTAACTACAGAAGAGAGTTTTCAACAATCTGGAAAGCAACAAGGAATCTATTGTAGAGGTCAGAGAGAATAGAGAGCGAGGTCAGTTCAGTGGCACATATCTTAATGGCAATTAAAGATATATCATCGAGTTTACATGCTTCGTGTGCTGTCAAGTTTGAAGACGATAGCGGAAAACATGAACGCAGTAGATATTCAGTTCTAAGAAGAAAATCAGGTAAAGGTAATCCTGATGAGTCGAGAGTAGAACTGAAACATAATAAAACGAGCAAAGCATTTTGCTTTATCGGCAGAAGATAAAAGCAACAGCATATTGATTGAAGAGAAAACGTATTGAACATTTACACTTATTTAACTCACTCTTTCAGAGGTCTCAGTAACCACGAGAATCAAACTTGTGTGAGGCTTTACAACGCCTCACTCTATCAAACAACGACTTTGCATCATTGCTTACACGTTTATAATTATTACGCTTACGGTCGTAACACATTGAAACATTGGTTCCCGTATGATCATCGAAGTTAAGTCACAATGAGCTAGGTCAGTACCTAGATGGGTGACCGCTTCGGAATATCAGGTACTGTAAGCTTGGATGTGCGGATGGTGTAATGGATAATGATTTGGAATCGGAAAGTTAAGATCCAGTTCCCGTCGGTTTTGTTATATTCACTTACATGCAAAAGTATGAATCCACCTCTCCTCCCCAAAGCTATGGGTTAATTAGTAAGATTTATATCACTAGAACATTATTATTTAAAAAAAAGAAATTTTTGAAATTAAAACATATTTTCTGGCTTTAAATAATAAACCTTAAAAAAAAAAACTAATCGCTTAAGAACAATTATTATGAGATTATACAAAGTCGCGTCTGTTGTGATTAGAGATATCACATATGTATAACCAGGAAAAAAGGGATTCCAGTGAACTATGTCGGCTGAGTAGAGGCAGTTGTACACAAATGAGGAGATTATGGTTTTATGGTTCGAAAACAATTATTCCAAAAACAATTATTCGAATAGCAAATGTTCTGAATAATAATTAATCTAAAGGACAATTAAATGATAATTATTCGAAATGCAACATTCTTTACATTATTTACATTATTCGGACTATTATCCTCATCTTTGTCGCCATATTTATTTACAATGTCTTGGCCGTTGTACGCTCCGGCGTTCTTCAGGTGGTTGGTATATCGAACTGAACCCTTTATTTCGCTCATAATAATAAATAATATACATAATACCTCATCTCAGAAATATAGACAGATGCAGAATTCTTTATTGCAATAAAAATATAAAAAATTAAGAAACGAAGTACACAAATGATAATTATTCGAAACAGACATATAGTTAATAAAACAATTTAGTAAGAAAAAATCCTTAAAACCCTAAGTTTTATGATACTGCACTCAAATAGTCAACTACTGAAGATTACACGTTAAAGGATGCCACCAACTTTGAAGTTTTCCATTTACGTCGCGGGATTTCTTGGAGCTCGATATTTTGGCAAACTGTTCTTACTTTTGCAATATGAATTTCTTGCAAGTCCTGTTCTCCTTTAAGAGCGTCTAAGAATTTCTATATTGTGGAATGACTATGCAATCCTTCAAGCGCGTTATTAGTTCTAAGTAAATCAGCATTTATTCTCTCAAAGCAAGACTACTTAAGCACTTCAAAAATAGGATTTCGAATAATTATGATTTGGTGTAATTGTCCTTTCGATTGATTTTCATTTAAACAATTTATAATTCGAATAAATGTTTTTCGTATAATTGTTTTCGAACAACATTCTCGATACGGAATTTTCAATAGGAAGTTTAAAGATTTCACTCCAAGTGAAACATTGAGAAGAAAACCGTGATAATAAATCGGGAAAGGAATCCTGAATCATATATGAGTGTTAGAGAGCACGCGAAAAAGAAAAAGAAAAATACTCTTAAGGAGAAAGGATAAGGAAAAGAATTAAGATGGAGGAAGATAACGATTGACCTTACATTTACATTTTTGAAGATCAAAGTTGACTCGGAAGAGAGTTACACAAGTTTGAAGCGCGATAGAAGAAATTGTCAACATAGAAATTATGGTTGCATCCAGCCAATTCGAGTGTAAAATGATGAGACCTTGCCGATAACCCAGTATTCCGTCTAAGTTTAGGTACCTCAAATGAAACAAAACAAGGTCTTGTATTAGTAGGAGTCTTGGTTTTCGTGTTGTTCTTTCTGTTAAATAAATTTATAAATTTTAGAGAATTGTATTCTCCTCTGATTTCATCATTTTGACCTTTGAGGTCAGATACAGGAAAAATAGAAGAAGTCGTTTTTGATTGGTCAAAAAAGATTGGGAATGTTAGAGAGATAAAAAAAAGGATACCAGCGAATTGAGTTTTTACACGTCATACAAAGTAAACACAAACGGTGCAGCCGATGCAGTCTAAATCCAAATGACAAAACAAGAGATAGATAAAGAGATAGAGGGAGAGAGATATGAATAGGCTGAGATAGATAGATAGATAGATAGATAGATAGATAGATATGAACATAATGAGATAGATAGATAGATAGATAGATAGATAGATAGATAGATAGATAGATATCCAAAAGTCATCTGTCACTCTATTGGTCTTGCGGTAACACAAAATTTATTATAGTACATAATTATTTTTATTTTTTACTAATAACATACTATACTAAATTCAATGCAATCAACTTAATCATTCGCATTAACTCTTCTTCGTCAAGTAACGTTTTGCAATAGACCAACATTGCATATTAATTTAAATGTCCTTTGGGAGATTTTATCTCTGACAAAAAAGTAAATATATATATTTGTTTTACGATAACAACATTTTCAAGGAGAATTACATAATATATGTCGGATTCAAGCTTTATTTAATTACATTTAAAGGAACATTCCTGTGAAAATTTACGATTTATAGAAATATTAATTGTCAATATATGTATACTCCCCCATGAAAATAAAAAACAAAAACTTTAAATTCTTGAAGCCCTCTATGTAAGAGAAATGCAATCAACATTAAATAAGATTAATTATGAGTAACACAATACTGTTTTAAAATGTCTATTACAGCAATGTTTTCAAATACCTTAATTCATTTTTTAAATTACAATTATAACAGCAATGTTTTAAAATACTTATAATGTAATTTTTTTAATTTACAAATATAAATTAAGTTACCTCTCTTACATAGTGTCAATCTCTGAATTAGCAGAACACGTTTCGTGCGCATTTTTAAAAAATTCTCAACTATCAACTACATTATTTTTTGTTTTAGCAATTCAAACCTGGAAATGATCTTATATGAGTTTGAATACATTTGGAAAAATAAAAAAAATGAAAAAAACTACAGCGTCTTCCTTAATGAGTTTAAGAACAATATTAAGAAATTGTCCCGTGAATTTGAGAGGATTCATATAAAGATAAATAAGAATAATTTTTCTAAATTATTCAACCAAATATGTTTGAATATATATATATATATATATATATATATATATATATATATATATATATATATATATATATATATATATATATATATATATATATATATATGGATAGCGGCTCGGATTGAGAAAATATAAATCCTCTTCTTCCCACTAGCTATGGGTAGATAGCAGAATAGACTGGGTTCTATAGCTTTGGATGGCAACTGGTCTACCACGGAAAACTCTGCCTTGTCAATCATGTATCGAAAGTTGCATGGTCGCCTGAATGTGTATCACGTATGGCACATAACTGACATATATACACTACGTGCCAAATTATTATCGAGATACTTTTTTTTCTAATATTTCAAAAACCCTCCAATCAATTCACACAAAATTCGCACACAATGTTTGTAACACTGACCTGCGCAATCACTGAAATTTTCGTACTGATATGCGCAATGTAAACAAACTGGCGCCATATTTGTTATCAGCATGGCGATTTGAGCGTGCCACATTATTAGAAAAGTGTAAGAATTTAGTTAAAAGATGGGTCTTAAAAGCAGTTTAAGTGATACTGACAAGAAAACTATCACCTCAGAACTCTCAAAAGGTAAATCTACTGTAGAAATTTCTAAAATGATAGTGAGGTGTCATCAAACAGTGAAAAAGTTCACCGCCGACCCTACACAAGTACGCAAAAGGGCAGATAAAGGCAAGCCGAGGGTTATTTTACGTCTTCTTATGTCACGACTTAAACGGGAGGCAACGAAGAACCTTGGACTTACCAGTCAAGAGCTTTTCAGTCGCATTGGGGATCCTACTGTGCCTAAAAGTACTCGGTGTCGGCATCTGAGGGAAATAGCAACAACAGTCAAACCTGTATCGAAGCCTCCGTTGATGAGAAATCACATTCAAAATTGATTGAAATGGCCCGAGGACAATATGAAGATTGACTTCTCTAAAGTTTTGTTCACAGCAACACTTGATGGGCCAGATAGATGGTGCAAAGTCTGGGTAATGAACGGACAGAATCGCCATCAGCGTTTGAGACGCTAACAAGGCGGTAGAGGCATAATGATCTGGGGTGGTATCATTGGAAAAAACATTAGTGGGCCCATGGAGAGTACCAGATGGCGTTAAAATGACTGCTGATGCATACATAGCGTTTATGAAGGAGCATCTTGAATCGTAGATGAAAAAGCAAAGAGTTGCCTTCAGGAGGGCCATTATTTTTATGCAAGATAATGCTCCCTCACATGCTGCTCACAAGACTACTGAATATTTGAAACAGTTAGGCTTCGATGGAACTCGAAAAAGGAAGTAGCCAGCAAATTCTCTGGATATGAACCCAATCGAAAACATTTGGAGCATCATAAAGCAAAGACTGTTGTACGTCAACGGACGACAATTTAGGAGCAACGCTGAGTTGTGGGAAGCAATTCTTGACATATCTCGCGGCATTACAGCAGATGACATCCTACAATTAACAAATTCTATGGATCGTCGACTTCTTCAAGTAATTTCAAAACAGGGAAAGCACATTCCCTATTAATTTGTTTAAAACTGTGCCTTTGTTTGTATCTGTTATTATTTGTTTGATTATCTTATTTATTAGCTTCTTTTGATCATAAACATTCACGTGCAACATTAATAAACGTTTTGTTTGCACAATTCTGGGAATTTTACTAAACCTTTGTAATAATTTGGCACGCTCAAATCACCGTGCTGATAAAAAATATGGTGCCAGTTTGTTTATCTTACGCAGATCGGTACGAAAATTTCAGTAATTGCGCAGGTCAGTGTTAGAGAGATCCCAATTTAAAATTTGCATAATGATAATACATAATGATTATATATATATATATATATATATATATATGTATATATATATATATATATATATATATATATGTGTGTGTGTGTGTGTATATATATATATATATATATATATATATATATATATATATATATATATATATATATATATATATATATATATATATATATGCATTTATCTCTGTATATTTTTATCCCTATCACATAAAATATATCTATTAATTATTAATTTTAGTTAATTATTTTGGTTTGACGTGGGTTGCTCTTATAACTTTTTTAATAATAAAAAACTGTTTGATTTTG